TGCACCTTGATGTGATGTGATGACTTGCATGCTTCCATAACCCTGTGAGCTACACAGGATGGCTTTTTTCAAGCCAGGAGATCTTATTATTCCTGGAAGGCCAATGGGTAGAGGCCCGACAAAGCTCAGTCTCACAAAGGCAGCCCCTTTTAATTAGCCGCGTTCAATGTCCGCACACTCTATGAGATTGATCAACAAACTGCCCTGGCTAGAACCCTTGAAACTCTCAGTTTAGATGTATGCTGTGTCTCCGAAACACGCATACAAAACCCTACTTCAGTTATCTCCCTGCGTTCTCTTGACCCAACCTCACCCTCACGCTTCACCTTTCGTGTGTCAGTATCCGAAGCTCGCGGTGTCGGGATCCCGCTAAGTATATATATATATATATATATATATATATATTGAGAGAGAGAGAGAGGGCGAGTGCTGAGCGATGGTATGTATTGTCACATTTCGATCCAGACCAGGACTCGTCAAACAATAATGTATGTGATGAATTGGGTCTGCTTGTGCCTCACGCTTTGGTTCGCGTCGCGCCTGTTTGTCCATCAATCCCACGTTCCTCATTAGTTGTACAATCGTTGCGTAATATTTATCGATTTCCATGTGTCGATTGAATGAGTTGGTCGAATGCAGCGCTTCAAGGATCAGACGTTCCTCTTTTCCCTTGCCACTACTTTTGCGTCGTTGATTCGAACCTCGTGACCTGTCGTTGCTCAGTGGTCCCGGAGATATGACTTCGAGTCAGCTTGTCGTGGTGCTAGTGTGTTCGTGTAGGCGAGTGCCCAGTAATTTGCCTGTCTCTCCTACGTAACGTTGGTCTCAGTTTAGGCACGGAATTGTGCACACCCACCCACCCACCCTCTGATTGGTCCTTTGGTCCTTAGTCCTTGTCGTTGAACCAAATTGACGACAGTTGTTGTCGGTTTGTGAGCAATGGCAACAGCCAAAGGGCGAAGGATGCGATTGACAGCTTCTGATACCCCACGTATGTATGGTAGTTGGAGTTTCGTTGTATTCTCTCCATCTTTTGGTTTTCTTTTTCCCCTAAGGCATGATTGGACGAAACTTTTGGGTATCCATTTGTGCAGAATTGATGAAACAGATGCATTCGTTCTTCATGCCGGAGTTCTTTTGTGCTACAATATGTGTCCGCACGGCGGAATAAAGTGTATATGCATATTTTATTGGTTTATGATTGCGTTTTTCATGGTTTTGAGCCGTTGAGAGTCAGGTGGTGTTTATGTATTCGTTGATTTTGTCTTCATTGTCTGTCCATTATTGAAACAACCACTTTTCTTCTTCAGGATCATACAAAACGGCCAGCGAACGCAAAGCAAAATCCATTATTGACCTAGAAAATGGGCAAATTCCTCGACCAATCAGGCGCTGTTTTGTGTGCGCAAGGTATGTAAGCAGCCTTGGGTTAAAGTGTTCATTGTTTTTCTTCAACACTTACATTCCTCCTTTTTCATTCGTCTATTTTGTCATCTGTTTGATTGCAAACCGCTCAGCACCAACGCCACTCCCTCCTGACGTGAAATTTTCGGGCTGTTTTAGTAAAAATAGTAGTGGCTATGAGAACCGGAAACCTTGATGCCACAGGAGCGGGAGCCGGCCAATTGTTCTTCGTATAAATACGCAACGTCTACGCGGTAGTCGTGTAACGTGCGCATAGCCACTGGTTGACCCCTTATGTCCAAGACGCTTCTCACGTTCCAGCACCCCACGTAGAGGTGCTTTCTAAGTTGGAGGTTGAGAAGATCCAGTTCGCATTCTTGACACCCCGGCTACTTGAGGAGTGCGGGGTGCGTCGCTCAGCGGGGACACCGTAGTATGTAACAACAACAAAAAAACGGACACTGCTAATTTGTTAAAAAAACCCACCCCGAAACAGATAAGGTACGAACCTCGCACAAATTGGACACAAGTATCTGTATCTTCACACACGTGTGAGGCCAGGATGCGTGCCAATCAAATCACGGTACAATAATCCTTATATAAAAGAAAAACTTTCAATGGTTCGCCCGTGGCCGGAATAAGGCCAGGTTCCTCAGGACAAGGTGGATGGATTTACTTGGGGAATTCACAATCGGAGCCTTCGATTGGCCAAAGCCTGACCCGCCAGGCAGCGGGGAGATGTGCGAAGGTTGCAATCCATTAGGGGCTGGTGTCCAGTATATCGGACGGGGTCAAACGTCTAAGATAGCAACCAAAATCGGTGCACAAAAGTGCGTGGTTAATGGTTGTAAAAACTGAAACTGAAACAAACGTCCGAGGTGCCCAATACAGCTCGATAGTGATTCATACACCTCTTCTTGGTTGGTTTGGAATTGGGGTTTGTAGCGAACTCCCCCAGGTGATCTACCACTGGTTCGCCAACCCGATTATAGCGCCGAATGTAGCCTTCTCGACCATTCACTTTGGTGGGGAAACACCCGCCAGGGGAATGCAGTGAGTACGGCTTCCTTAGCACAAGCTGTTTGAGACGCTTGGTTGTATGAGAGCATTTTGCAAGGTGCAAAAGAAGGGTAAAAAGCCACAGCCCAAGACAGCCACCCTTGAAAAATACTGAGGTTTGTTTAACACAAAAAACGGAAATACGTGACATTTTTATTTCGTCTCTACCTTTAGGTTAGTGGCTGTCACATGTTTGGAATCTCGCATTCTTTGCACCGTCAATCTCGGGTTATAATGCCTAGCCAACAACATATACTTACTTTACTTTACGGCGGCTGGCTCCTGGGAGAGGATAAGCCGGC